TTTATTCATAATTTTTTCTCGACATTCAAAATTTAAATTAGTATTCAAATTTTATTTTTTATTTACTATTGACATATCTCCAAATTAACTTTTATACACTCTAATAATGTTTGACTTAATTCATAAGATGATATACTTAAGTACAAATATATCTATCCTTTAGGATTAGAATTTGAGTTTTGTACTGACATGCAAAAACAGGAAAAATGAAGAGAGTCCACATAATTTGTTAGGTTCATATGCGGATGGTACTTATTTCACATAAAAAAAAAAAATTAAAAGGATATGTATAGAACTACAAATCCCATAGATTAATTTTTAAAATTCAAATAAAATCTTCTAACCAAATTAATTTACCATACTGATGTTGCCATCAAAAATAATTTAAACCACACATAAATTTTATGAGTCGATAATTATATATCTCATCATAAGATGCACTATTAATCTTAAAATTGAGTTCGAATTCTCTCTTTCCAATTGTAATTCGTTCAAAAGAAAGAAAAAAAAAGAAGAAGCAAAAAGTCTGTTTTGCACATAAGACATGTGATTAGGACTAAGGAGTGGTTCCATTTCTACCTACCAAATGCCACCCTCAGAATCAAACATTTCTCGTCATAAGAACAGATTTTTACTTCTTATCTTTTGGAGAGTGAACTCATCTGTTGGTAACTAGAGTCGCTAAACCCATGAATTTGACTGCTACTCTAATCCTTCAAAACGTTGCTGTCGTAAGATCCCGAAAAGTCCAGTCTAATCTCAGTAGAAAATGCTAGTATACCAAGCTCCGAAAACAAAATTTGATAAGATGTTTAATAAGAATCTCTTCCATATTAGAATATTGAACAACACCTGAAAAAACAAGGTTGTCATACAATTCTGCAGAGCAATCATCCCCTACTTCCCTACTCTACAGAATCTATACAGATGCTAGGCGCATCAACTTACATAATCCAAAAGTATTTCCTACAAAGTCAATATACATTGGAACCACAGGGAGCCTAGAACTTGATTCAACCAATGTCAAGTACTTAGGCATCTCCATGTTCCCAACAAGAAAACAAGCAAGACCACAATAATTATAATACTGAGCATAACAGAGAATGATAAACTTGAGCCACGATGGAGAGCTGCTGCTTCTGAATGCACTGCTGCTTGGCGCACCTCAGTGCTGTTTGGTTCAGTATCACTTTTCACCCTTCGCCTCAGTTTTATAGAGGATTCTTCACCTGTTCCCTCGCTTTCACCAAACTTGAACAGCTGGTTTTCTTTCTGTGGCTTTAGTGTATCTTCTACTTCTTCTGTAGCCTGCAATAAGAGATACAAGAACTAAGATAGGATAAACGCACATCAATAGACACAACAGCTTGAACATAGTTTCACCTAAAGATCCTACCTTAGTTGGAGCTGACTGTACTTCTTCTTCATCAACGCCAGCATTTGTCTCTTTCTCAATGTCAAAGGACCCTGGTGAGAGTTTCATTTGCAATCGGATTCTCCTTGGAGCAATTCCCTGAGTTACAAAGTTGACTGAATTTGGTTGGCGTTGAGGCTGCCGGGTTCTAATCCTGATTCCAGTTCCACCAACAAGATCACTGCTACTGTTCACAGGATTATTCAGATTGGTTGGCTCTTCCAAATTATGGACACCACTATAAAATGAAGCAACTGCAGAATCAGTAGATAAGGTCTCTTGCCCTATAGGATGGTTCCCAAGATCACCAACATATCCATTTTTAACTTCTTGGCCAGAAACTGCTGCTTGAGCATGGTGAGATCCAAATGAAGCTGGCGTCTGTAAAGATTCCCTCCTAGCCACTTGCCCATTAAAACACCCTGAAGCTTCAACTTCGGCATCATACTGGTACACAAGTTGAAAATATAAAAGATAAGATGGAATCAGTCAACGAATAGTAAACCAGTTAACTAAATTAAATTGCCTGATTAGCAAATTATAAAACCATAATGACACAAAGACAAAGGCTCTGCAACCTAAAAAAAGCCAACTTATAGTTACATACTTAGCAGGAGGAAGTTATTCTTTTACCTGTCCTTGGGAGCTTTCTGCTATGGTCAGTGGCACGAATGCATTACCAGCCATGTATACTTCACTTCCAGCAACTAAGTTATTCTGACCAGTAGACTCTTCACAGGATTCCTCATGGTTGTTGAAAACCTCATTCAACAAGTCAGAGAGAGACACATCCTCTTCACCAGTTCCATCTTGAAAACGTATTCCACTGTGATCATTGCCAAAATCACTACCATAAAGAGAATCCATGTAGGAATCCGTGTAAAGTGGTAGATCTTCAAGAATATGAGGTTGCACTGGCGAGAGTTCATCGTAATCAATCTGATCATAAGTTGGGTCATAAAAGTTGGAATTTTCTTCCAAGCGTGGAAAACCCTAAACAAAAGAGAGTAGGGGGATTGAGGAGAGAATTCCTTCTCTTCATGATACAGTAAATAAAAAGGATCATTGGCAGAATAAAACTAAAATGAAGAAATGAAGTCCAATTCTGACCTCAATTGCATTGTCTTCCACTGCATGATCTTCTAGATCAGAAGTCATATGACTATTGCAGCAGCTGTTACCAATAACCTGACCATTTTGAGATACATCATCATATGACTGCTTTTGAACTTCCATCTCAGGTGTTGCTGTCCCTTGGACCAGATCTGATGATGTGTCATCAGGAGACAACTTGTTTGTGGGAGGAGAATCTCCAATCTGGTCCACTTCATCATACTTTACAGCATCAATCCTCTCATCCACTTTGTGGAACAATCGAAATAGAACAAATGCACCCTGCACCCACAACATAGGCCCAAAGTTATGCACTTGTTCTAGCTTTAGACAAACATCAACAACCAAGTAGTCATGTAAATGAATTCAGGAGTGTGTTTATAGTCACTTGAACCAAAAACCATTCAATAGCCAACAAAAAGAAACAAAAACAGAAAAGTCATTTCAGCACCACAGAACTGTTCCTACAACCCTGAAATTCAACAAGTTGACAACATCCCATAGAATCTTTACCCTAAGCATGAAACAATACCTGGCCGGGTGCAGTACCATCAAGATCCTTGGAAGTGGCACGATACTCATGCATGATCCAGTTAGTGCGCAGGCCCTTAGGAGCACGACCCTGGTAGAACACCAAGGTCTTCTTCATTCCGACGGGAGACTTCTTAGACTTAATGGTTCGATCCTTACCGGTGGCTTTCCAGTAGCCGGCATCAGTCGCCCTATTGGACCGATGGCCATTAGGGTACTTCCGGTCACGCGGACAGAAGAAAAACCACTCCGGATCACCCGTTTTTATCACAGACAGACCTAATTAATTCAATTTAACCCATAGGAAAAAATTAAAAATTCCATGACTGATTAGGAGTTCTGGAATCCAAATTCAGGAAATTATCCAGGCAGGAATCTTCCGCTTACTAGATTTGCCAGACGTTGAAAAGAGGAATAAATTCATTTCGTTATAATATTGGAGAATAAAGGATAAAACTGAAAACAGACAGTCTAGATTAGGAATCGAAGATTCAGAATTCCTATTTCTTTCTTTCAAAAATAAGAATAAATTAGAGGAGCAGAGAGGGGCGAAAAAAAAATACCAGGCAAATCCCAAGGCTCCCATTTGCAAACATCAATTTCGGGGATGACCTCAACCTCAGAATGACGGCCGTTGATCTTCAACCTGAGGTAATGGTTTATCAGCTCCTCGTCCGTCGGCCTGAATCTGAAACCCAACGGCAGCGATTCCATAGACAAGGCCACCATCCTAGCTCAGCCGAACCGTGAAACCCTAATCTCAATCGTACAGAAAGAATAAGTGATTAAAGCTTTTAACTCAAAAAAGGCGATCGTTTCGTAGGCAGCGAAGCGGACTTCAATTTTCTGCTGTCGGCCAGTGGCAGTCGCTTTCCGGTGTCCTTGGTTTTCATTATAATACGAATTTCAGTTGACCGTGGCCACCGCGTCGTGTTGTGATTGGTTGGTTGACTCTGCAGAATGGTGACGGAGGAGGGATAGCAGACAGAGAATGATACCCGCGTGAACCGTGTTGGGTGGGAATCGATTATACAATTACTAAAGTGCCCCTTAGCTTATCCTACACGGCAGCGCCTGCTGGCTGGTGTGGTACTGTCTGTGGTGCAAGAAAAGGTAAAAGCAACAGGCGGTACACAGCAATCACCTTTTTTTGTGCTGGTTTTTTATATAATTTTTATATATTATTAAATAAATATATATTTAATATTATATATTTTATAAAAAATTAAAAATTTAAATGATATATACAATTTTATTAAAAAATAATACAAAAAATTATTCTTAAAT